ATAGACTCTTGATTTAAAGAATGCAATACCAACAAGCTGAAATAACAAGAAGACAAAACGAATAACCAAGGCTAAAGAAACAATAATAAAAGTCTAAGAATACAAAAAAAAATAACAAGAATAAAATCAATACTTGGGAAACATAATACAAATTTACATAAATATAATTATTAAGTCACATCAAAGAAGAATTATTAAGAATATATCAAACTCTTTTTTTTTTGTTTGCTTTTTGGTACATTAAAATTATATCAAACTCTATATTTCACCAAAAAAAATCTACATAACACCATTTTCTCCCTCCATTTGCCTTATCTCTACTACATAATAGTATAATATTATGAATAAATTGCAAAAATCAAGCAAATAATTGATAAATAAAAATAAAAACAACGAAAAAAGAGTTAAGAATCAAAAACTACATTTAACTATCTCAATTTTTTGAATTTTCTATCCAAATTATCACGTGTTTACTTTTTCTACCTGAATTATTACCAATTATTTATCAAAACATACATCAACTATAACTATTCACATTTTCTACCTGAGTTTTTACGGTGTTAAGGTAGAAAAAAGTGAATGCATTATGATTAACGTGTGATTCGATAAATATTTGATCATACTTCAGATAAAAAAAACTTCCACACCCAATAAATAATTCACCGAGATAATTTAGGTGCGTTTTTCACCCTTCACTCACCCTAAAAAATGAATTAGAAGGTCCATTTTAAGATCTTCATGCGTAAATCAGCCTTACATTTAGCATTTGTAGTTGAAGCCACCGCCGGAGTTTTCCCCGTCGGAATTCTTCCATGGATTCCGTCACAAGTAACTCTGATCCCGACTTCCTTACTTTTCAGTTTATCCATTTTCGCCAACACCATTGTATCCAACAAGATCTTCATCGGTAATCCATTTTTTCTCCTCAGATCTGATTTCAAAGATGAAATTGAATCCGCATCGAGCACTTGAGACGCCATTGATAGAGTTGAGTGAATGATCGTGATGTTATTTGGACCGCTGCTGAATCCTGTGAACGATCCATTAGCTAGTAGAACTGAATTCGAGTTCACGGTTAAGGAAATAGGATCGTAGTTGTAAATCAGCTTTTTGTTAGGGTTTTTAGTGGAGAGTGTGAGATTGAGCTTAACGGTGAGGTGTGTAGTGTCGTCGGAGGTAGTAGTGAGTTTGAATTGGATGATTTTGAGTGAGGAGACGGAGAATGCCGGAGGTTTTGGGCGGAATAGGAAGTAGAAACCGGCGCCGGCGATTGCGGCGAGGAGGAGGACGGTGCAGATGAGGAGGAGTGACCAGAAACAGCAGAAGCAGAAGCACCGACGGCAGGTGCAACGGCGGCGGTTGTGTCGGTGGTAGGCAGTTGGAGTTGGTCGGTAAGGGATGCGATTCGGATTGTACATTTGGTTCTTCGCCGCCGGAGGAGGAAATTGCGGCGGTTTTGCGGCGGCTTTGGGATTGACGCCAGCCCCAGCGGCAATATTGGTGGCATTGCCATTTGGCTTAGCTGAAGGGTGAACTCTGTCAGCCATTTTTGGAGAGAAAAAATGAGCTTAGATTTGGCAGAAGAAAAATAGAATTTATATTTCTGTCGTTTCACAAAGGTGTTTGACTAATGTCGGTGGATTCGGTGAATTCTATTATGCTCGCTCAGATTTTTCAAAAATATTATCGAGATGCGTATCATATAGATGTCAGAATATTTTGTAAACTTTGAATAACATAGGAACTTGTCAATCTCAATAGAAGATTGAGCCCGTTTGGATTGACTTAAAAGTTGGTCAAATCTACTTTTAAATAAGTTTTTTACTTCTAAAGTGTTTGACAAATATAAAAAATAACTTAAAATAAGTTACGAAGTGTTTGACAAGGTAAAAAATGACTTAAAATAAGTCAGAAATCAAAAGTAGATCTCTCCCTACTTTTTTATTTTTTAACTATTTTTTATTTAAAAACTACTTTTTTTTAAGTCAATTCAAACGGGCGATAGTTAAGTACTGTCTTATTTTTTTACGAATTAGACTTGGTAGTAGTTTAACGTTCTATACATGTTTCGCCTTTGTACCAATAGTATTAGCAGTTTTGTGAGTTGTGATTTATGTTACTTTCCATTGTGTTTTAATAAATGTATTATTTTGTTATATGATGTGTTCTCTAGTACTTGTTATATGTATTATATGTTACTTAGATATGCGTTACATTATGTTTTTTATGATTGATTTATATTGATGGACTTTTAAAATTCGTTCATGCTACTCGGATTTTAAAAAAATACATGTTATATAGATTCTGAAATATTTAGAGAGCTAGAGTAACATAGGAATTAGTCCATCTCAATAAAAGATTTTGTAGATAATTAAGTGTTGTCTTACTTTCTTACAATTAAGGTTCGGGGTGGTTTGACGGTTTGTACCTATTTCTTCTTAGTATCAATATTATTAGTAGTTTTGTGAGTTGTGATTTATATTATATTGCATCTGATTATGTTTTAATTACTACATTACTTTGTTATGTAATGCTTTTTCTAGTACTTGTTATAGATACTTATGTATGTTACTTGATATGTGTTGCGTTCTATCGAAATGAAATGTGAGTAAAATTTATGTACTTTCTATCTTTACCGACCTCATTATGTAAAATTATACTAAATATGTTGTTTGTAGGCAAACATATTCGTGTATATTGATAAGTTATAGCAAATATCTTATAAAAACTAGTTGTTGTGCACATAAATTGATGCCAACACCATGATTGAAGAATTTTTGTCGTTCTGTCTTTCGCACGGAAGTCTGTCTGTCTTCATTCCAATCATCGTAGTTCGATCGATCAACTACGCCCATCCATTCTAACAAAGAAAAAAGTGTTTGTCTAACACCTTAGCATTTGATGAAATAAATATAATCTTTTCGCTTTCAATTATAAATTTTTAGTTTTAATATCCTAAAATAAAATAAAAATAGATAAGTTTTTTTTTGTACATACTTCAGTATTTATGTAATAGATTAATCAAGTCAAATATCAAATATGATAGTTAAAACCAATTATCAATCGAGCCATTAATTACCAAACAACAAATGATTAAATAAATTATAAATAATAAAATAAAATAACTCTTAAATATAGAAAAATGCCAACTTTTTTTTAACAAATTGATAAGGAAAGAATAAATAAAACAAATAAAGTAGAGTAACTTGGTTAATACAAAAGGAGTATGAAAATTTGTGAAGTATAGGCAAAGCAAGCGTCAAAGTCTCTCTTCTTAGTTTTTCCTTCATTTGTTCCAAGTACTTATAAATTTTAAAATTTAAATTTTATAAATTTATTTTAAAAGATTTTTTATGTTGAATTAAGATGTTTTTAAAGTTATAAACTCATATTTGGTAGTTATTGTATTCGTCATGAATTTTTATGCAAAAATATATATATGTATGTAAAAATACTAGATTTGGATGAATCTGATACTAATACTTTATGTTCGCCTTTATTTGAGAGGGCGGAGGGGTGAGAGTGAGGATAATTTATGACTTTTATATTAAAATATGATTAGATGATAATAAGTTAAAATTTAGTAATAGAAAAGTATGTAGTACAATAAATTCTACCAAAAATGTAGTACAATAATAATTATGTGCATATATTTATTAGGTTGATTTGAATATTAATAAAATTTAGTAATAGAAAAGTATGTAGTACAATAATAACCGATCTCCTTGCTCGTGGTATTGATGTCCAGCAAGTACCCCTTGTTATTAATTTTGTCCACCGAAACTTGGATAGATGGAAAGAAATCACCTATTAATATTTTGCCTTCGCTAAATTTTGAACTTTGAATCGGAGACTTAGTGGTTCTTTTATTGACCACTGAGCCATACTCGTGATTCTTCCTAGTGTATGTGTTCTTGTATACATAAGCTTTCTTAAGTTAGAGAAAAGAGAGCATGTTTGAACTATGAAGTGAAGAAAGAAACATGAACTTGAATATTGTAGAAACAAAATTCCAATTCATTGAAAAATAACAAGAAATTTCTAAGACTCCTCAAAAATACCACGGAGTATGTGTCAAATCTTCCAAAATAGCTACTCCTTATACTTGGAGGATCAAATATGGATGCAATATCATTTTTGAAAGGTTCTAACCTATATCTTTGATTGGTGCAACATTACTCGACCATTTTGATCTGTCCAAATTCAACCTAACTTGCTAATTTGACACCCCTAACATCATAGTTTCACATATGTCTCCAAGTCCTAACCTAGAACTCTAGTTGGTCTGCGCGATGAGATAAGCAAGAATATTCATGAGATTATTTTATCTCACCTTCTATATGAGATAGTAATACCACTATTTCAATACAAATAGTGAGATATAAATCTCCGATTTTCCTAATATCTCAAATTAAATATGAAATAAAATTAATTTATTTCAAAATTATTATCCTTATCTCACGTACCAAATAACGGTCCAAGAAAAAGTTGTGGGTAGGGTTGAATGCTGCAAAGTTGAGTTTTGATCATGCGAATGTGTTAAACTTTGTCACATGATCCTCGAATATACAGCTTTGCTATGTTTGCTGTTTTTTCTTTTTTTTTTTCCTCGATAATCGATATTTGTTTCGTATTTTAATATAATTTAAATTTACGCCGCATATATAAAAGCTCAATTAATTTTAAAAAATGTACTTTACCAGCAAATTATATCCAATCCATATTGTATAAACTCGAAGTTTCTGATTAAAAATTTAAAAATCGAATTAATTTTTTAAATAGTTACTCGATAATAATTATTATCTCAGAAAGTCACCAAACTTTATTTGTGACATAAAAATCACTCAATTAATATTAATTATCATAAAGTCGGTTAATTATTATTATTTCACCTATAAAATTACGCTTGCTTCATGCACGAAACTGCCTACGAAACTCTTATAAATAAAGCCAAACAACCCATGCCCACATGTATTTTCCCTCTCACAAAAAGAAAGCCTATAACTTCTCTTCCTATCTCCCAAAAACCAAAAGAAGGATAAAACAATTTGGCATTTTTTTCTCCATTTTCAATCAATTAAATTTGTGATTTTTTTTCTCTTCAAGAACACTCACCTCGTCGATTCTTTCCCGTGTTCCTTAAATGGATGGTGATGGCCAATTATTAGTTCCACAAGGGCTAACACAAGAAGAATTTGCAGAATTGGAGCCCTTGATTCGAAATTACCATACCTTTGAGGATTTACCAAACACTTGTACTTCTCTTGTGACACAGCGCATAGACGCGCCTGTCGATGTTGTGTGGCCATTCGTCCGTCGTTTTGATAATCCCGAGAAGTATAAGCACTTCATCAAAAGTTGCAGGATCGTGTCAGGTGTGTAATTACTTCATCTAAAAGTTTAAATTGACATTAGTACAACACATATATTATTATAAGTGATTATTTTGTCACGTACACTATACTTCAATATACCTAGACTTGTTCTAGTGGTTAAAGTAAATACTACTATTGATCTTCTCGATGAAAAAAAATATCTCACATATGAATATTATTCATTTTCCTTGTTCAAATTAAACACATAAAATTTGTCCAAAAATGTCGTAGTGATAATATACTTGAATTATCTTTTATTAATAATATCAAAAGTTCGTTTTTAATTTGTTTAATTTAATCAAAATAAAAGCTTTCATTTCTCTTTCTGCTTTTTGATTTTATGTTTACCATTTTGTTGAACTAAAAGAAAAGAAGCTTTCAAGTATTTCACAATGCATTTTTATATTGTGATTTTAGTTGTTTCGACGAATCTATCTAAATTACCAGCACTTCTCTGATCGATAAAAGTTGCATTTTTATATAATAATCGAATTGTAGCGGGTAATCAATCTTTGTAAAAAGTTAAATTCAAAATAAGTAGCGGAGCCACATGTACTTAACACTTCTTCGTCAAAAAATTTACATTATGACGTAGCTAGGTAATTTTATTTGACGGATATTTTATCCCAAATAAAAATAATATATATATATATATATATTGACATATCTTGACTTCTTTGTGAATTTATTTCTTTATATTTTGATCTTTCTTAGTAAAAATTCTGACTCCGTCACTCGATACAGGTGATGGCGGAGTTGGCAGCATAAGAGAAGTCACAGTTGTGTCAGGAATACCTGCATCTACAAGTACAGAACGTCTAGAGATATTAGATGATGAAAAACATATTTTAAGTTTTCGAGTTGTTGGAGGTGAACATAGATTGACAAATTATAAATCAGTAACATCAATTAATGAATTCAACAAAAATGGAAAAATTTATTCTATAGTTTTGGAATCATATATTGTTGATATTCCAGAAGGGAATACTGGTGAAGATACAAAAATGTTTACCGATACTGTTGTGAAATTGAATCTACAAAAACTTGCTTTAGTGGCAATGTCTGCTATGCATGGGCACGAATAATTAATCGTGATGAAAGGATGATTCAGGATTTGAATTTGATCGTTTTGTTGGTTTTTTAGATTAATAAGTATGGTGTTTGGGGTGAAATGTGCTTCCTTTCATCAGGACATGTATCGAATAAGATTTGACAATTTTTATGTAGTACGTACGTACAATTGTATGCAGTTATGTAATCGTGAGTTTGGTTTTTGAAATGTTTGTTACTTTTAATTTTTGAAATATATATATATATATATATATATATGTTTCGTGTGCAAAATATATGTATGTTTGTATCCGACTCAAAATTCTTTAGCGGTATTTTGGCAATATCTCTTACATTTTATGTTTACGAATATGATTTGTGTATATTACTTTCTTAAAATTTTATTTACAAAATAATACTGAATATGTTATTGTCGTTATTTTCTATAATAAAGAAAAAAGGAGCCTAACTTTATATATGAATGAAAAGCTGGCAAAATGCCTTGTCAATGTTTGTGTATACTCCAACCTTAAAGGGGAGAAATTATTGTTGAACTACTCTATTACTTTTTGAATAAATGTGAGGGGGGGAAAAGGAGAGAAATAATTTGTTTTTTAAATACAAACAAAAAAAGGGATAAACATTAGTATTGTTACCATTGAGAAACTTGTGACTTACACCTTGTAACATGTGATATTAAATTTGCTTTATTAGTCACTTATTTTCTTCTAGTTTATACCTTGTTTGAAATTTGACAAGAAGAAAATAAATTTGCTTTATTAGTCACTTATTTTCTTCTAGTTTATACCTTGTTTGAAATTTGACTAGAAGAAAATAATTTTTAAAAAAAATATATATACACTCTTTTTCGAAATTAAAAGAGAGCAATTTGAAAATATATACATATATATGTATATTATTTTTTGAAATTATCAAATATTCGTGTTTTTTACTGGGTCCACCTCTACCTTTGATAAGGTTATACAATAGCTCAAGGAGAAATATGATCGATAACATAGAAAGGGTTTAAAACTAATGTAAGGATCATCTTACAATAGAAGAGACATGTATTATCATATGCTACTCTAATATAAGTGTAGTAATTTTAGCTTTTAATGTGTTTGAAAGTCTTTGATCAAACGAGTATTTTTATAAAAAGCTTAGATGAATTTAATTTCATTCGTCAACCGACAAAACAAAGACTAATTAATGCAACAAATTGTAAGAGCATCATTAAAGATCAGGCCCATGCTATTTTGGACTTGTCATTTGTGACTTTGAGTTTAGAAAGGAAAAATTACAATCTAATATTTTTGGGCCATCTAATTTACAAAATAGAATATAATATATGTTGTATATTAAATATGCACATCCTATACTTATAAGATATATATATATCTATACACATATATAATTGAAATGTATAAATAGTATATACTATGATCATGTTAATAAACGAAATGGTTCGAGTATACATTTAGGGGTCGTTTGGCAGAGTGTATAAGAATAATGTTAAATAAAGTGTATTAGTAATGCATATATTAGTTATGCTTGCATTAATTATACATAGATTATTTTAATGCGTTGTTTGGTTTGATGCATTAAAAATAGTATGTATTGCATTAAAAAAATTACTTACAAAGATACCCTCCACTTTTATTGTGGAAAAGATGTAAAAAAATGTTTTGAGGGACAATTGAGTCTTTTGTCATTTTAATGCATGCATTTAAACTATTGCATTGCTAATACCTAGAAATCCATGGTATTAGCAATGCACACCTTAATACACAATAGAATGTTTATACATAGGTTGAAAAAGAGTACCAAACAAGGTACTAGAATACACAAAGCTAATACATGCATTATTTTTCCTAATACACTCTATCAAACGACCCCTTACATAAGTTTTCCTTCAAACAATGAGTAATTGACTTGTTGAGATTTGGGTTGTGAAGAGGTTGCAAAATAAGTTTCCTTTAAGAGAATGAGTATTTTTCTTGTGATTGTCTCTTCAGAAAAAATTTGTGACTAAAGATAAATTGTTGAAAATTAAAATTTCTTGTGATTGATATTACTTGTTATCTATGTGATGATAATTTATTAAAAACTGCTCATCATTTTTTCATAAAATGTATTTGGTCTACTTTCTTGTCAAATTGACTTTAAAACATTGTTTTGGGTGAAGTTGCAACGAAATGACATTGAAAGGACTTTGTATTAACTTAATAGAAAGCATTGAAGATGATGAGAAAACATATTGTGATTGCTAATTTAGGAGATTTGATTTTTCATATTTGAATGTCCAGAAATTGAAAACTGTATAGAGATTACACTGTTAATAAACACATTACGACAAATTTAATTACTATATTTGAAAAGAGCAAAAACAGGAAGTAATTTTTGTCATTAGAAGTTTTTTAAAATTCTGGACACAAACTCTTACAACTCAGTATCATCTTGAATGACGGTTTGTATGATTGTATGGATCTTGTTAAAACCCATATGATTGCTATCACTAGTCTAAAAGGTTATTATCAACTAAAGATAAATTGTTGAAAATGAAAATCTTATATATTGCTACTGTAACGATAATTCATTGAAAACTATTCATCATTCAGTTATAGCTAATGAATATGATCTACCGCATTACGAAATCACTTTAAAGCATAACTTGAGAAGAATTCACAACAAACGGTATTGGATAAGACTCTGCATCAACTTAACAGGAAGCACTGAAAAATGATAAGAAAACACATCACGACTTCTTATTTGAGAACTTTGATTTATCATATCTAAATTGGTAAAAACTAAAATCTGTATATGAGTTATATTATAGATAAACAAACAATATTTCAACAGATTCAGTTAGAAATTACGAACATAATTAGTATGTTCAGTAATTCAAAAAAGATCAAAAAACACATAAACTTGATTTCAAGATTGTATAACTATAGTTGATCAACACTATAAATTTGTATGAACCTAAAATTTGCTCTGGACATAGATAGCTTACCAATGCTTTAGGACACGATCTTAGATAGATCGGGGAGAGACTTGAGGCCCAATTTCTATCAATTAAAAAATATCTAATCTAGTCATGGGTCAAATCCATATAAAACTCATTGTTGACCCGAACTTGTTCATTCTCTTTACTACTACTTCTCTCACTAGGGTTTCGAAAACCCTACCGCCGCTGCTCTCCTTTTTCCCCAAATCTGAGCAAATTGAAAGCAACAATGGCGGAAGAAGCACAGTACGGAACACCAGAAGCCGGTAACAACAAGAGGAAGTACGATGATCAAACGACACCGTCTCCTGGTCCACGTAGACCTACTGGATTTTCTGCTCCGATCGCTTCCTTATCTCCTTCTGATGGTGCTGCTCCTCCTTCTTCTTACAACAATGTTCCGCCGCCTATGGATGATTTCCAATTGGCTAAGCAGAAGGCTCAGGAGATCGCTGCTAGGTTGTTGAATAGTGCTGAAGCTAAGAAACCTAGAGTTGATAATAACGGCGGTGGTGCTGGTGCTGGTGGATATGATTCCTATGAACGTAAGGGTTATGAGCTTTTTCTAGCCTTTTGCCGTATGGATTTTGTGTTTTGTGTAGTTTGTCTGTTTTCTTTGGATGCTTTGACACGAAATTGAGATTTTTTTAAAGAATTGTAATTTTTTCTGTAATTCTTTACTGTTAGAGATACTGCACTATTAAAACGAAGTTCATTTTTCACTGATATCGTTAAACCCCATGTCAAAATAGTGTTTATATTGGCTACGATTGATTTAATTAGTTTGTACGGTAGTCAAGTTTACACGATTTATGAGTTTTCTGTCCTTTTCTGTTATTGATTTTGTGTGCTCTCTTATGATGGTTTTTGAGATGAAGGTGAGATGTTTTTTAGATTAAAAAGATGTATTTTCACGCTGATATTCTTTTCCTTTTTGATACCGCTTTATGGACACCAAAAAGAAGAATTTGAGTTTGTTATTTACAGGTATCCTTATATCTTATACAGCTCGTTGTAGTATTTTTTCTATATCCAAATAGGGTTCATATTTGCTACAATAATGGTGCTGGTGGAATTGATTCCTTGCGAGTTTACTTCCTTTTGTTGTTGTTGATTTGTGTTTATGCCTTTTTGCTGTGGGAGAACAATTTTCAGGAAATGAGGTTTTTTTTTTGTAATTACTGAAGTGTTATTTTATTGCTCATTGTTATTGTAATTTTCACCTACTTCTATACCCGTCCAAAAATAATCTGTTTACAAAATATTTTTGATGAAATACAATTATCCATACCCAATTTGTGTTTGTAATTGGTTACCACTGATGTGATTAGTTGGCAAGGTAGTAGGGTTTAAATATATGTGGCTTTTCTTGACTGCAGACAAGCCCATTGTTACTCCTTCAGTTACAAGTTCATATGGTTATCCGGGGCAAAGCAAGAAGATTGAAATACCAAATGGCAGAGTTGGTGTGATTATAGGAAAAGGTGGGGAGACCATCAAGTATCTTCAACTCCAGTCTGGAGCCAAAATTCAGGTTACCAGAGACATGGATGCTGATCCTAATTCTACAAATAGAGCAGTTGAACTCATGGGTACTCCAGACCAAATAGCCAAGGCTGAACAGTTGATTACTGAGGTTCTTTCTGAGGTACTAATCTTTGCCTTACAATACCTAAAAGAGTGTCAAACTCCCGTAATTCTTTTGTTGAATTATATCTATCTTCTCATGCTTTTGACCATTAATTGATCTGTTTTCAGTTTGTTAATAATGCATTATGTATCTGAAACAGGCTGATTCAGGTGGTTCTGGTCTAGTTTCCCGAAGATTACCTGGACAGCAATCTGGAGGAGAACAGTTTTCCTTGAAAGTCCCCAACAACAAGGTGAGATTTAGTGTTGTAGTTTAGTTGTCTCGTGGTTAGCTTTCTACTGTTTGTCTCATGTGTATTGGTATGTGTTTTGTTAGGTTGGTCTTGTTATTGGAAAAGGAGGTGAAACTATAAAAAGTATGCAGGCAAGAACTGGAGCACGTATTCAGGT